CCAGCATGCTGGCTGGGGGATTCTGGGAGTTGAAGTCCACCCATCTTAAAGTTGCCACGGTTGAGAAACACTGCCCTTAACTAAGGCATTTAAAAATCTAGCAGTTTTAAATTAGCTTTTTGTCCTTGTGGGTTCCCTTGTAGTGCAAACTAGCTCGTGGGTTAGTTTATATTCAACCTACTGGGGCAAGACCAAAGATGGATCCATTCAGCTACCCAATTGCGGGGACTCTGCAACCCCGCCATCTCCAGCAACGTCCCAACAGTACAGGAAACATCAGGGGGCAGAGGAACACCCCCCTCCCCACTTACAAGAGGAGAACATTCAAAACACAGAATGGAAATCCCTATACAAAAGTTCTTTAAGTGAGTGGCTCTGGGTTCATTTATTGCTTTTTCAAGCCTGCAGTTCAGGCCCAGAAAGGGTGGATGAGAGGAAGCTATTAGCCACAGAGTTTTACTAAACAAACCCAAACTGGGCAGCTTTGCACAGCACATAAGCCATCATTTGCAAGTACAGAACCGTCAGCTGGGTTCACAAACAAGCGACTACAGTTCATCTGAGCAAGTTATGCAGAGCCAACACAGGACCAGCGTTCCGCTTGGATTTGGCCAACCTTGGGCTGCATGGACCCAGCTTGGCAAGGCCACCTTTTTCAGGTCACCCTGCAAACAAACCAGCCCCCGAGGGAGGCTTAATAATGGGTGTCTAACAAACCTTCCGTTCCACAACCCGCCTGGGGGCAAAGGGCCAGCCATCCTGCCATCTAAGCGCCCAGGCGCTCTCGCCAGGCCTACCTTTCAGCAGAGGAAGAGGCGTGAGCTCCTGCTGGTTGCTCTGGTACCGGAACTGGGAGGAACTGTGAGACCGTCTCTGGCGGGACCGGCGCAGCGACCGGCGGGAGAAACCGTCCACTTTGTCGGGCGGTGGCACAGGGGACAGCCCAGGGGAAGAGGGGCTGGTCGGTGTGACAGCAGGTGGGATTTTGGTCTCCATGTTGGCAACGGGGGCAGAGTCCGTCCTGCAGCCTAACCCTCGGAGATGCCAGGGAGAAGGCTGTTCTTAATCTTCCAGAGCGGCCCCGGGCATTCCCTCCGGCTGCAGCACGCACCCCATGACCAGGGCCGGTGGCACCGTCCAAGGCTGGCTGCCAAGGTGTACGTGAGCGTGGCCTCCTCGCGGGTCTCAGGGAGCCGAGGGGCTGCTGAAGTCCAGGAGCAGCCGGCTCACATCGGAGGGGCTGTCGGCCTGCTCGGCATCCGCGTCAGGGCCCCCCCATCAGGACGATGCCAGGTGGGCTGCAGGAAGACAAACCGAAGCCTTGCGACCCTTGGCGGGCGGGGAAGCGCGCGGAGCAGCGGGGCCTCACGCCGCCGCCAGCCGAGCCAGCCCCGCGGAGCGAAGGCCGCTCGCCGCTCCTGCGGCCGCGAGGAGGGCTG